CGAGGGACGAGCCTGGCAACAGCACAGAAAAGCTCGAATGCGACTTGGAATTCGATTTGCTTGATGCGCTGTGCGATAAGCTCCCGAATCGGAAGCCGATGCGGCTCAGGTTGATCAAGCACTTTCCGCGGCATTGCAGGTGCTCCAAACCTAATCTGCGGTGTGGGCACGGCTTCCCAGCTGGTACTTGTGTCCGTAACACAAGGGCTTCGGCATGAACCGAGCTGAGAAGAAGTCGCTGGACTTGTGGTCTTTGAACCTTTGCTGGAGGATGACTTTGCTTCGTCCATTTCTTTCAGCAACTTTGCTCGATCTTTTGGGCCGAGCGTTTTCCAATAATCCGATGGGATGTCCTTGGGGCGTTTGCTGCCTTTGTACGTCTTCACCACTCGAAGACCATCCCAATGGTAGCCTTCAGGAATAGGGACCCCGGCCGGCGTAGTGTCGGGCTTGTAGTCCTCGGCTTTGTCAGCTGCCGTGACTTCAATTTCGGGTTCCACACCCCCCTGTTCAAGTACACCTTCTGGAGCTTCGGATGGTGTGTACTCTGCGAGGTCAGCATCCGCAAGTGGAATCGGATTGGGAGACTCGATAAGGTTGAGCTTTGGGTCATCAGGGATAGCTTCCTTACGATCTTGTTTGACACGCAATGGAAAACTAAAACCGCCTGGAAGGAGCTCAATTTTCTTTGTCCTCTGGATCGTCAAACTGTTGTGTTCAACATGGTAGTCTAGTGCTTCCAACTTAGCAACTAGGTACTCCCCACGCCACTTGTGTCCTGGCTGTACATGATAACCAAGAAACACACCTTCCACCGAAGTGGGCGACAGCTTTCCTGCTGTATTGTCGGCTCGATTGGGGTTATTCCAGAATAGGACTTTTGCACCAAACGGAATGGCCATGCCTTCAAACATTTCTCCAAAACGCAGTTCCCATGGGCTTGGAGATGAGTCCAGCTGATCACTCGTGTTTGTTGCCATTGCAAAATGTTGAATGGCGAGTGGCCAGTACTGGAGGGGCATTCCGGACTGAACAAGATTGGTGCGCGCTCCCTCAAGCATGTTCCTAACTTCCCTTTCGATGAAGCTCTTGGAGGAGTCCACGTATTCAACGGAGGTTTGGTGGCGATACCCTAACTCCTTGATACCAGCTATCAGCTCACGGGAATTGTCGGTGTAAATGACCTCGACTGCATCATCCGGGGCAACAAAATGCTGAAGAGCAATCACTACCTCATCCGAACTCTTGGACTGAGATGGGTAAATACTCCGGAACTTTGTATGCAGGTCTTTCACAACCAAAGCTACCCGTTCACCACGACTCCCTTCTTCGATGTTCGCGCGCACGACGACGTGGTCGGCGATCAGATGATCACCAAAAGCCTTAGTCTGAATGCGGCTCTCACCCCCTTTCTTTCGTGCCTGTGGTGCAAGCATCCTTGCTCGCTGGCACACTTTGCAGAATGGGTTCTTGGGGAAGTGGTGATACTGGTGTTTTGCGGACTGTGCTTCACGCATCAAGTCTCCAACTTTTCTTGATCGCACCAAACGGCTCTCTTCGTCGTCTGGCACTTCCTCGTCGATGCCCTCATCCTCTTTCTTATCCGACGGGCTCGAGATTGCTCCCGGCATAGCAAACAGCTTCTTCAGAGGCTTGTCCTTCTTGAACTTGCCCTTTCCAAAGACTTTGCATTCGGAGTCGAGGACTGGGACATGACCATCAACACGAAGTTGAACTATTTTCTCATCTGGTCGCACAAGAATCGGAGTACCGTTTGCTGGCCACACAAAACTATACCCTTGGTCAAGGCATTTGATGCCAACTGAGAGCACAGCAGGGCATTCATCCAGCAAATACGGCGTGCAAGGCTCCAGTAGCTGCTTCATCTTGACGTCAGCTACCTCACTGGCTTCAGTCGACCCATTCGCAGTAATCAGACTGATGGTGTGAGGAGCCCGTCTTGGGTTCTCCGCACCAGCAGCATCCATAACTTTCCTGCTGAGGAGGTCTTGCTCACTCCCAGAATCGACAAGCCATGAGAACCTGCCTTCCCTTGGTGCTGGACCAGCAACGATAGTCGGGATGGTAGTAGGACATGTCTTCAACTTGATTAAGCTTCGGCACTCACGACAAGTAAGCGACGATTCGGTGCACAGAAAACGACATGAGGGCACTGTTGCGCTATCAAAGCTTCGAACAACTTCAGCCAACTGCCTAGCTTTTACTTTGGCCATGTGGGCTGCCTTTGGGTCGCTCTTGGGCACGCGATCGCTCGTGGCAAAATGCACACTGTACTTGCGCTCACGCTTGACCATTTTGCAATGTTCCCCGCGAGCAGGGATGGTGCGAATTTCAGGTTTCATAACGAATGTAGTTCTTCGGACAGACGACTTAGACCTCTTTCTCGCTGGAGGAAGACAGGACTTCTTGAGACATGACCGTCCGGGCACACCAGTCGCAAGACATGCAAACCGATTGCTCAGGCAAATGGCAGCCTTCTTGGTATCTCCTTTTGCCTTTGGCTTTGGGGAGTCCTTTCTTGGCTTCGTTTTCGGAGCCGGTGCTGCCTTTTCTCCATGTTTGAAAAAGCACTTGTCTCCTCTTCTGCATGTACCTTGTTGATCGTACCTGCATGGGGTCTTCGCCATCTCTTCCTTAGTCATCCGCTTCTTTTCCTTATCTGTGCTTTTGTCCCTCGACTCATTCCGCTCCCGGGATGGTTGGCGCTTCTTGGAAGGATCACGCTTGGGCTTTTCATGCTTGAACTTGCAATCTTTCCCTTTTGCACACTTTCCCTCCAAAAAGGCCCAACAAATGCCCTTCTCCCGAGAAGTGGATCGTCCGCGCGATGGCGAACGCTTTCGCCGAGGATCAACAGTAGGGGCTGCGTTCTTCTCATGTCGATCACCTGGCTTGAGCCGATTTCGCTCCGCGATACGTGATCGATTCTCACGAAGGCGTTCCCGATCTATCAGATCCTTGATGCTTTGCAGTAGGAATTTGTAAGACCGATGATGGTCACCTTCTTTTGCACGATCGAAGAGATCGATGTCGTACCTCAGGATTGCGCTAGTGCGGATCTGCCTTAAAAGGATGTCTCGAAGCACGTTTTCGTGCGGTGGTTCGGGCATACCAGCGATGGTAGCGTCCCAGCGGTTGATGAAACGCTTCAAGTCCGCTACAGTATCGCCTACCTTTACCACATTGAGGAGATCTTCGACCCTATAGAGGCTACCCGCTTCTTCCGAGGTCTTGAAATAGTCATCGAACATGAGAAGAATCATCCTTCCTCGAACCTGGATGCCTAGCTTTGCCTTCTCTTCTTTGTAATTGATGATTCGGTTTGCTAGATCACCCTTTGCACTTCTGGTCAGCGCAGCTGCCAACTTGGTATCCAACGTTGTGAACTTCCCAGGGTTAGACAACCGCTCTTCCAGAACTTTTCTCTCATCAACAGTGTTGTAAACCTCCATTAACCAGTCCCAGGCAGCATCTGGTTTGTCAGAACATGACTTGATTTCGTCCCTCACATGATGTTTCCACTGCCGATAGGTTTCAGGGGTTGGCATGTCATTCAACTTGATATGATCTGCCTCCTTTACCTTTGGCTTCTCATCTGACTCTCTTTGAGTGAGTGACTTGACCAATTCAATCACCTGCTCAGAGGTGATGGCACCTGATGACGCTGGCTTATGGGGTTCGCGAATTGAAGGTGCAGGGCTATGGAACAAATTTGTCGGTGTTTTGCCCCCATCCGCTGCTGTGCCTCCGTAAACTGGAAGCACGGGCTTGATAGGAGCAGCTGCCCCTGGTGGGGCATCACCGATGATGGTGGCCGTCGGCGCTTTGGGTGCGAACAGTCCACTCAATCGTGCAGTAGCCTCTGCTGCAATGGTCTCCAGAGGATTTTTCCTCTTTGTGTCATCATGCCTAGGGGTAGACACTGGTGTGTTCATGACACTTGTTGGATGGTACTCTAGCTCGGGTCCAGCATGCATTTTGGCTTTAAGGTCATCGAGCATTTGCTGCAGGCTATAGTTTTCATTTTCTGCGTCGCGTAGCTCACGTCGAAGCTGAGTTTCCCGCTCATCGAACTCTGCACGAAGCGTTGCCACACCTTGCTCGGCACCACTAGTGATGGCAGTGACAGTTTGCTGACAATCGTGCATAAGCTGAATACGCAAGGAGTCCAGTTCTGCTTTTCTGGCTTCAGCCTCAATAGACCTCTCACTCTCTAGCTTTAGGATCCGCGCTTTTGCAGCGCTAAGTTCCCCTTGCACTTGGTTGTAGCTAGATTGAGCTTGCTGCCTTACCGAACTGAGTTCCTCATGATGCTTGCTCGCAACCTCATCGATTGCTTGACGAAACTTGGTTTTTACCATGTCCAGCCATTGTCCCATTATCTCTTTGTGCCTTCTCTCTGCCTCAGCAATGATAGCGTCTTCGTTTCCGTTGTACACTTGTTGGATGTTTTGCTGCACGAACTGAAAGTAAGCTGTGACAGGAGCTGAACCCATGGGGTCCTCTAGATCCACCGTGGGCTCAGTCATGAGACCGGCTGGGACTGCTACCGATGATGTGCCGTTCCCAGGAATAGCGAGAGCGTCCATGGCTGTGGTTAGAGCACTACGGCTGATAACCTATAGAAACAGCCGTTAAGCTGCAACTCCTGTTTTGGGCCGCGAGCTGCGAAAGGTAGATCTGCGTGACATCCTACTATGTGCAAGGTACAAAGTGTACATATTACATGGAGTGAAAATACAGTATGTAATTAGGTTGCTTTGTTAGGCTCCGTTGCTTCTTCGGCTCAATATGTTGGATGATATCCTAAACAGTTGTGAAAAGGATAAACCGCATACGGTATAGTATGGTATAGTTGCTGCATTGAAGCCAAAAGTCAGCAGCTGGACAGAAACAGTCCTTGAATGTATAGAAAGCCACGGCCCCGAGTCAGCAAGGCGGAACTGTGAAATCTGACATTACAAAGCAACTATGGGGTCCTCCTGAGGCACTGCACCTCGTGTCTCATCCTTTGCACAAACGCAGCAAGCGCGCACAAGTCACAAGCAAAAGATTTGAAGAAACAAAAGTGCTGCGCCTACCTAAAATGAGTATCACTACAAGATACATTGATGCATGCTGTGGTATGCACTAGCATGCACTCGCCATATGTTCGTCTTGAGGGATGGACGTGATCTATTGGCTTAATGTGATCGCGCGTAACAAAAAGCGACCCACTGAAACCGAGGCAGCTACCTCAAGTTCATCGCCGGTATTCTCGTCATTGGTGTGGCTTTCCTTCAATGTGCTTGTTTAACAGCTGATGGCTGGACAGGTCTTTCAATGAAACTGTCTCATCCTGCTTCCAAATACAGCGATTTCGTATAAAGAGGTTCAAGAGGCTCTTCAAGAGACCTCAACGTTTCTCCTGTATCCTTTGCTATGTAATTAATCAGCAGCTGAGATTAGCACAAAAAGGCCAAACATTGCAGGACGCACATGCGAGGCTACTTCTGGCGTACACAAAGTTGGCACTGCATGAATTTGGCAAACATGCGAGAAATGGACAATTTGCAGCTTTGGAACCAGCTGGGAAACTCTCCTAGATTAGCATCTTGGGGAGGAGGTACATGATACTCATGCCGTGGACACGCAATTGCTCAGAATAAAACTTGAGCCAATGGCACTCATTCCAAGTTGTCTAAGAGAAGTAGCCACAAGCTGTTCTTAATGGAGCCCCGTCACTTATAGCCTTTGGGTGTATTTGGAATATGGTACGCCAACCGGGAATGCCCAAAGGAATGCTACACGTACATTCACAGAACAGGCTACCAGTGTGCGCAAACGCTATATTTGACATGTGTTCTTACCAGTTTCCTGTCAATCCAGCACCAACCAAAACCAAAAAAGAAGGAACACAATTACTTCAATCTTAGCTCTCTCAATGTTTTCATGATGCCTGATTAAGAAAATCATCTAAAACCAAAAACCAAAAAAAAACGCTGGCGAAGACCTATGGCTGAAACTCTCCAACAAAGGTCTGCTTTGCTGCTTTTCTTGTCGTTTTGTTTTGCGGTTTTCCCTGGGTTGCATGATGTTTCATGAGGCCAAGTTATTGTTCCCCTTCTGTTGCAAAAGAAAGTTGCAGTGTAGATATTGAACAGCAAATGGTATCATGCAAAACAGTCTAGATTTGTGCGTGTCTTTCCTTCATTCGTTCGTTCTTTATCTCTTTCTTAATTGGTTAGTTATTTAATTAATCAGTTCACCAATATATACTGTACGTATATTATATATATAGTTATATTAATATATGTTTATTTCCTTGCTTGCTTGTATCCCATTTAGCAGCCGGTCCTCCACGATCATCTTCGGCGAGGCGGGAAGGAAGCGGCACCGATCAATTTGGCAGATCGCTTGATACGACGACAGAGGTGGAGAGCATCGGCGGGAAGGGGAGTGGGTTGGGCAAGCTTGGGTGTTAAAAGAAAAGTGCGAAGAAAGGAGGAAAGGAATGTGGTCAGAAGAATGGTCTGTTTGTCAAAGGACAAGAGAAGAAAAGAGGTTTGGGGAGAAAGGAATGAAGCAGCGGCCTAGGAGGAGTTGTGGAAAAGCGGTTTGATGCAGAACTCTGTTTTACTTGAGCTGCGCATCCAGCTTGAACAACAAAAGCTAACTGACATGTTAAGGCTTCGGTGAGAACTCCATGTTTCGACAGGTTGCCAGTTCTGGTAGACCTGATGAGGGGGCATGGTGGGTGATGGGTGGGTAAGGGGTGGGTGAGGGGTAGGGGATCAAATAACTTTCTGACAGTGAATACAGTGAAGCAACGTATCCGTGGGGCGTATGATGTCAGGTAACATTTTGGACCCTTTTTGCGATGTGAATGTGGCCATGGATAGTGCTATGCGCGTCGAGGGGCATGCATGGAAGATTTTGAAACAGTTCCCTGCCACACCCTGGCGCCAACTAGGAGCAAGGACGCTACTAGGGGCTCCTGGCATCGCTACTAGGAGCAAGGACGCTACTAGGGGCTCCTGGCATCGCTACTAGGAGCAAGGACGCTACTATTATGCAAAAGAAATATACCTTTACTCAAACGGTCAGCTGCCGCATGCAAACTGCGGTGAAAAAGAACAGCTGCGACCACCGAGCCTCCTTTGGCTGGATTTAGTCATCCTCGTTCTACTGTGTTTTGCATACTACGAACGTTTGTTTGTTTTGTCCAGAGTGTAATCGAAACATTGTACATCTTTGTACACAGATACTTTTGAAGGGGCAATCAGAGCATCAATTGAAGGCATAGCTGCGTTGCAACTTGCTAAGTCAGGTTGGTGTGAAATGTTCATTGAGAAAGCAAGTGCAAGGGATCCAATATGCTTCTTGCTTGTCACAAATTTTGCCAGTGGTATCTTGTGGTGTTATCATCTTGAGTGACTTCTGTTGGAGTCTCGGACTTTCTGCACAGGTCACAACGCATGTGAAGCGCAGTCCAGTCATCATTATCTCTTCAATCGTACCCTTTGCTCAAGGATGCCAAAGGAAATCCATGCCTGAACAAATTATCCGGATCCCACTTCTTCTTCAATTCCAGCAACAATGATGTTTTGTGTCCGAAGCTGTACCGTGCTAGATGTTGGTCATCTGGCCCGAGATCTGTGGCATAACTTCCCAGAGATTTGGGCAGCAGCTGCTCTACCACTTGCATAACCCATGTCTTGCAGGCCAAAGCTTCAGTTGCAAACGAATCATCTTGGCTCTGCCAAACTCCTGAGATGACCACTGACCACTCTGCTTCCCTCGCGAGGAAGGCACTATCTTTCTGGTCTGACACTGCTCCCCCCATGTGCTGCAGGTGAAAATAACAATGCTGTGTTGGGGCAGAGCTTATGCTTTCAATCAGCTCGGTGTGAATCTCAGCTTCTTTGTGGAAGAAAAGAGCGCGTACAAAAAAGCCGCGTTTAGAAAGAAAACCCTCATGAACGATCCCTTCAGGCTGCTCACATAAATAGGGTTCATGCTCCATCAATTCTGAAATGTCTTGTTGTTCACGGAATATCTCCCAAAGCAACGCAGGCCTGGTAGGTAGCTCCACGTCTGGAGCACCGCTTCCAAAGTCAAAAGTATAGATTCCCATCAGGATGTTCGCCGTCGGATTGCCACTCGAATAGGCAGTTTTGTCCTTGAAGTACCTGGGGGCCAAAACCTAAAACGGCCGCCAACTTCTAAAGATTCTAAAGCGTCACAACGGCCGTGGGAAATGACATCTTTGCAGCGAAAGCTCCGACTTAGCCTTACGAAGCACCGCAAGGAAAAGATGTTTAAAAAAGGGTGAAAAAGGATGCTCAATGTTCACTGCATTCCAAATTACAGGCAGCAATCGGCACTGCAGTCCATGGGAAGCTTTGAAGACCAAGCCATGTAGTCACGAAGACATCCTGCTCGAGAGGGCGGCTCACCGATCTCAAAAACTTTTCTCACAGTGTTGCAATGGCGAAAGGGCGCTGCCTGCAAGGTTATTGATGTCACAACTCCAAAGTTCGGAGCACAACCACGTAGAGCCCAATGCAAATCTGTCAAAGACTCTTCTTGTCCCACTTGCGAAAGCTTCTCCGTCCATGGTCTGTCCTTCTGTTTCCCTTGCTCTTTTTCCTCTCGTTCGTTCGTTTGAGATACATCCAGTACTTCCCCTGTGGCTGTAACCAACTGGACTGAACGAATGGCATCAATGGCAAGTCCCAATTGCCTTGTGAGGTGTCCAACGCCGCCTTGCAGAACGAGGCCAAGGCCCACAGTTGGCGCTGTCCCAAGAGGAACTACAAGCCCCAGCTGCTTTGCTTGAATGGATAAATCTTGCAGCTTCACCCCAGCTCCGATTGACAAAAGAGCAGATTCACGTGACGCATCCGTGGCAGCCACAGCTGCAATGTCTGCCATGCGCACAGAAGTGAAGTAACACATCTCCAACACCAAATCTCCAGATTTGCCAAAGCCGCTGTGATTTCCTCCAACCACACTGATGGAGCATCCTGTCGCACCAGCTGCCCGGACACAGATCTGTACATCCTCCACACTTTTGGGCTTTGCAATAACTTGGTTTCCATGTAAAGAACCAAGATTCAAAGCCTCCAGCTCTGAAAACAACAAGGTCACCCTCTCACTGCCCATTGCTGTGCATGTGTGTCCAAGAGCTTCAAGACAGTCTGTCCTCTTTTTCATGACGGAGCTTCCGAACTTTGATTTACCCACCCAAACACTATATCTCTGAACCTGCTACCAAGCTCTTCACGGGATTCCTTTAAGCGGTGGTCAAATTGTTTGCTGTTCACTTGAGAGGATTTGGGATGGATGCTGCTGAAACTGAATCGGGGTTCTTCGCATTTGGAGAAGAGTGATCGAAATTGCTAAGAGTTCGTTGTCACACAATAGCTGTGTTCAATGCCATACCAGGCTTTTCTGGACTCATGAACCTTCCTGCCATGTTTTTACTTACCCTTGCAAGCCCAAACCACTAAGCCTACAAATCAACTTAATCTTATCCGATTCAGGAAAGTAGAATGGCGAGGTTTCGGTGCAAATCAGGACTGACCACAGTAACAAACAAACTGCCCATGCTCCACCCACTGAGATGCTTTTACATGACCGGCAAATTACAGACTTTCAAGCCACTGTTGAATGATCTGTCATTGTGACAGCATTCCAACTTTTCAGTGAGCCTGAATGGTACACTATTAAATGCATCGACGCATGCGATCATGAACAGCTGTATTTGCCACCACCCTGTGCATCAAGCAGGCATGAAATAGGTGATTGAGCTCGTGTCTCAGACACGAACTTAGGTTCTCAAAAGGAATACTCAAGAGAGAAAAATGTCCGCAAAATAAAACATAAATAGATGTGATGATATTACGTGTATATATATATATATATACGTATAAAGTCAGTCCATTATTATACAGTCATCGAATGTCTTTTGGTAATTCAGGTCTATGGTGTCTGCCTGTAGCGTCCAACGTAGCAGCTTCGCTGCAGTGAAACCATTAACGGTTAACGTCCAAGCTCTGGGTCCAAAGACTCGCTGCCTATCCTCATGTGAAGCTCCATAAATACCTCGCAAAACTTCGTTGGGGGGAGAGCCCGCTCCCCCCGTGCCTACTTAATTACATAAGTGAAGGCTGAGGGGTAAGCTGCTAGCTTCTAGTACGCTAGTGCATACTGGACGCAGGATAGCTCACGCGCGCAATAATGATTTGGTTCCTAGACTTTGAGGGAAACTTGAGTTTGCAAGGTCCATCAGTGTCCTCAGATCTGTCAGTTCGAAGCCTTCATTGCAGCAACCACATAGTCGTGAAGTGCCATGGAGCGGACACCAGCCTCTGCAAAAGGATTGATTCGCAAGCTTACGCTGTCTGAAGATGTCTAAAGGCTGTTCTGATCGACTTGCATCTTGGTCATGGTTGTTTGCGCGATGACCAACACTTGTCTGCACCTTTGCAATGCAAGTATTGGGCACGCCAAAGGTATTATGTCTCCGTGATCCTTGCTTAAGACCATAGCTGTGCGCGTGTTATTTTTTTTGTCTTGCGATATTTGCCAGGAAAATCAAGAAAAGTAATCGTGACTTTCATGGGAGCATGATCCCATATATAATCTACCAAAGCTTGAATGCTGCCTGGAAGTGAATGTGCTTGATGTGCTCCATGACACTAACCTTGATCACGGTGCTGTTGTTGGTCAACCAGTTTACACACTGGAACTGAACTACGAAAAAGGATGAAATTGGGTAGGACACTACGTAGCATGCCAGGGCAATATGGCTTGCCATATCCAGGCACAAAACTCCAGCAGGAGTAAGTAATGGATGTGGCAGAATCCTATTAGTTGAAACACATTGCAACGTCATGTGGGATGGAAAGGCTCTCTGGTCGAACAGTTATGAAAGCGTCAACATCTTGGAACAGGACCATATTCAAAAACACATCAGCAAAGAACAACAACAACAACAGCAGCAGCAGCAACAACAACAACAGCATGCTACTAGTAACAAAGGGCATCGCTACTAGGAACAAAGCATGCTTGGAGCAAAGGAACGATCACGTCTTTGGGTTCAAGGACTCAGCAATGGCCTCACCCTAGTAGCGATGGCCTCCAAGCCAATAGCAGCCAAATAGTCATGACTTGGTCATGTGTGATTGTCATGCACATTCTTTGATTGTCATACCGAGTCTGATGTCGGCCTCAGAGAGAAGCTATGCTTTGCTGTGCTTCGCTCCTGCTCTTGGTGCTCTCGGGTCTGGGAGCCCCGAGCCAAACCATGCGGCCCTGCGAGACCACGTACACACAGCGCTGGAAGACTCGCCTTGACAACGCACGGACTTGCACGTGCACAACCAACGCAGGTGTATCATTTCTTCAGCTTTGCCGCTTTGCCTAGGCTGTAGCAGCCCATTTCCTTACTTCAGGTGTTCACGGCAATTTCGACTAAACTTCAGGACCTGTGCGCCGGCAACACTCCCTGGGGAGAGATCTCTTGTGAGCTGCTGAGCCCGAACAACCAGCAAAGGGCCTATGTTCCCCCACTAAGGAGCCATAGTGTATTAACATGTAATTATTAACAATCAAATCCTCAAAAATCCTCAAACCCAAGCCAGGTTTTCTTGGGGTTGCATCTCTTGCAATCAACTGGAGACAAGCTTTTGCAAAGTGCGGCTTCCCCCTTCGGCTGCAAGCCCAGGGCAGTTGAACAAAGGAACCCAGCAAACTAGCATTGTCCGCCCGGCACCCATGCCTATGCCCTGCAAAGGCTACTAACAACACACTGTTGCCTAGTAGACGCAGCCCCCTAAAACAGTCACGCAGCTACCCCAAACAAAGCATATGTCTTTCCTGGTTTAAACCTCAAACAAACCTAGGAGTCGAGGATGCCAGCGAAGTGACCTACGAAATCTACTTTCTGCAGGTGTTCAAACAACGACAGGTCAGGTCCACCAAAGTGATATAATGACGATAATAATCAGGTGAGATGATCCTCCATTTTGAGATTGCTGTTCAGTCAGGGAAAGGAAGGTGTGTGAGCAGTGTATGTGTGGTGAACGAACATGACGGCTCCGAGTCCGAACAATTCAGTACATTGGTGGCCACCACAACGCAAGCTAGCGGCGCATGAGGCATCTCCACGCAACCAACTACATGACAACTCTTGCCTCCACACTCTTCAAATCAATAAACCCCCACTTGCTGTCCTGGCACAGAACAACATCTGCAGTAACAAAGCTGCAATCTACAACAATTGTGAGGTCTCCTCTATCTGCTGCTCGAGCTTCGGATCCTCCATCCAGGCATCAAATTCCTTTCATTGCGGCACGGCAAATCACCTCTTACCGTTAATCCACAGAATAGCACTGCCTGGTCAGAGACAATCTCGTCACAATCCCTGTCAATTGCGTTGAAGGCGCAAATGATGTATGGCAGCAACCTACAATGCAAACAAGTACTTCCAGAAGAAAGAATGGTGAGTCATGTGAGAAAGAAGAGCCCATCGGGCAGTAAGATTAAGGCTTTGTGAAGGAGTCCAGCTCAGGAGTACATCTCCATCCCAAGCGCTCCTGCACCAAGCGCTTTCTAGATTCTTGTAGATTTCCGTTCTGGTTTAAAACAAGAAATTTGCAATAGTCTATTTGCTTTGATGTTAAGTTTCCCTAAAAATCTAGGAACCAAATCATTTGTGCGAGCGTTTCTTCAAGGAAGCTATCCTGCGTCCTAGGTAGTAGCTACTTAAGCTAGCTACCTAGCTACCTAGCTACTACCTCTTCTCGGCCTACCCCCCGCCCCAAGCTACACCTTATGGCTCTCACGTCTCTCGCCTCAGAAGGCTGTGAAGCTGCCAAGAACGCCACGATGGCCTCCGAGTGAAAGAATTTGGAGGATCAAACAGCGAAAAAAAGGAAAGTATATTATATATTATGGATTGTAAATAACAATATATATGTTATTGTAATAATATTGTACGATTGTTGTCATTCGTCTGTCAGGGGATCGCTCCTCTGCTTGTTTCTGCGGCAAACGCCCATAGGGATCTCGCCGCAACGTGGTCAGGGCTTTCGAGAACTCCTCAACTGCAAGGTGGAACAACTCCAAGCAACCGGCCCGTCATTCCCCTTGTCCTTGTCAATCGCTGGCTTGTAGGTAGTGTCCATTACGACCGAGGGTTCCCTCTGCAATTGAACGGTCGTCTGCATAGTACGTGCATATCTATCTCTTCTAGAGAATGATAGCTTGCAACTTCTGCTGCTACTTCATCTTGCTGACTGAGGGTGCCTTTGGGGCGACATCACAATGGCTTGCGTGTCCTGAAAGCTTGAGTGGCTTGCTCAGTTTGCTCTGAGCAGTTGAGAGACCAAACATATCTGTCTGGATGAGAGCATAGCAGCTGCAGCTGGTGTCAGGGCAAGTACAACATGTCTGGGGGAGACAATGCTGGGCTGCTGGACGTGACCACAATCAACTACCAACTCCCTCCTTTTCACGAACTGTACACACCTAAAAGCTGGGCTCATGTGAATCACTGTACACTGGTGACTAGGCGATTCCAATGTTGAGTAAAAAGAAACCAACAGGAATGCAATTCAAAATTATGGCTTTACAAAAAGAACTCAGCAAAGGCAAATTGCCAATTGCACGTTAATTCCAACTTGACAATTGAATGCAATATGCACTCAGTTGCAGCTCAAATTCCAACTGCAAGTCATCAAAATTGAGGTTCGATACTGATCCGGGAGTCGAAATCAATCACTCAGATGTCCCTGATCTCGCTGCAGTTCACACCATCAGTTGGACGAACGGAGATTGAACATCTTAAATGTTCAGCCAGGGCAAAGGACCGTTCAATTTCCAGACGCATGTGTAGGGAATGCGTCAGATTTCAGGAGCTTTGTCATAGCAGCCTCAAGCACCTCCCAATAGAAAACAGTTCAATCTCCTGTGACTGTGAGCTAGACTTCATGGCTAGCTGCTTCCTCGAAATTGGGATCGCAGGTAGTTGCAGGCCTCTGGCTTCTCTGCAAGAAGGTGCCTGCAATATCTCCAGAACGACTTGGGCAAGGCATTTGCCCAAGACTACAGAACCCACCTGCGAAAAATGCAAACCATCATCATCCCACAGCATCTTGTCTTCAACGCAAAGTAGCGAAGCCGGATCAATGAAAGTAGAGCCAGTGAAACTGCTCATTTGTTTCATCTGCCTTAGGAGGATTTCCCGGTGCTTTCGCCAAGATTTGTTTGCGCATGGAGCAGGAGGGACTCCAATAGCCAGCGTGGGCACTCCAGCAGAATGGCATGTTGAATGAAGACTGAGCAAGTTTGCAGCTGCTGCTTGTCGCTTAGCCGGGTAAGGCAGGTCATTGGTCCCTGCCATTAAAATGGCCAAATGGAATGGGCCATCTTCCTTCAAGACTCTGGAAAGACCCTTCCAAGATATACCGCAAACATCAACCAAGGTTGAATTGATGCCGGCTGCCATATCCTCTGCTGATCTCCCACTCAGGCCGCACACCAAAATCTCACCTCTGATCATGCAACTTGCAAGCTTCACTCGTGTGTTAGCAAACAGCCCCCAAGAATAGCTAAGAACACGTATAGCGACCATGCCAAAAAGCAGTGCAGCTAAGAGTTCGGCAATTTACGTCATTATATATTTATACAGTATATATTACTGCAACTATGGTGCAAAGAAAGGAACATAAACTAAAAACAAACAGTTATAGAAATCACATGAAACCTGAAAGGATCGAGTGGAGAGGCGCCTGACAGCTCGACATGTTGCAAACACAAGGCTCAAATCCCAAGGTTTCAAATAGAGTGAAAATCATCGAACAGTGTGTGACTGCGGAATGCAAGCCGCCAGCAACTTACACACACGCCTCCCGATGGGAGGCATACGTGTAGCCTTCATCCTGCCCGGACAGGAGGCACCCCCATCCTGCCCGTGAAAAGGGCTTTGCGAAAGCATATGCGCGTGCAAAAGGGACGAATGAACGATGAAAAAGACAAGGCAAACAAAAGGTGTGTGGTTGCCAATGAAATCCATGAAGGAAGAACCAAGTGAAGAGGGACAACCGACGAGCCAAACCTCATTGTACCAAGCCTGCGAAGACAGAAAGGAAATGAAAGAAAAAAAGGGAGGCCGTATGTGAAGGGGCCGGTGAAGAGGAAACCAGATGAAAGGGGACAAACCGCTGAACAGTCAATAACCTGCTGTAAACGCCTCCTTTGTTTGTAAACATGCCGCGTGCAAAGGAAGGAGGGGGCGGCAAAGAAGAAAGAGAAGTGGAGAAAGGAAAGAAACGATGATGCACACCTACGACCAAGGACACGCCAAAAAGGAGGGAAGGGTTCCCAGCTACGACAGTAGCATGGCTCAGCTTCCGCAGTTTCACATTGAACGCCACGTTCAATCCAATCAAAACATCACTTGACAGACTTGACATCAACCCAAAAGAAAACCCTTCATCCTTCAAGTAGATTCAGAAAAGATGTTTTTTAACATAGAATCAGAAAAGAGACTTCCAATTGCAGGTGCGTTTACAGCTCCTCCCATTGGCCTCTTCATTGGCCATCCACCAATGGTGATAGGGATGGCCCCCTGCATTTTAACACCAATGCGCGACCGTTGATTCCAAGGTGTCCACACACACACACACATACGCGCGCCTCTTCGAGGGGAGGAGGATGACTAAGGCTCCGACTTATGCGCGCGGGTGCGTGCAAGAGGAACAAAAGAGAAGACATGAAAAGGAGACAAGACAAGACTAAGGAGGTGGCTGCGATGAAAGAGAATCAAGTGCACAGGGACAACCGATGAGTCAAACCTCCGTGTCAAAACCTGAACCACCTGTAACCTAGTTTAAGTTTACATGTACACGTGCACGTATACGCTCAGGGCCGGACCGATGCGCGCACCAAAGAAAGAAGGCGGATAAGAGATGAAAGGAAAGGAGGTGTGTGTGTGTGTAGAGGGGAGGGGAAGAGAAAAAATGGGAGGGCCGAGGGCAAATGAAGCCAAACCTCCTTAAAACAACCTGGGGGAACCTCACCTTGTTTGGTGCGGGTGAAGCGCAGTGTGTGCACATAAGGCTCGGACGGTCCCAATGGACGGGCTTTCAGCCTGCTCGAGCTCTATCCACATCGTCAAGTCTTAGTTTAGGTTTGGCGCAAGCCTACTCCGTCCGCTGTGAACTGCTCTGTCTCCGGCTGGAAGCAGTGACAAAGCCTTGCTCGGCAAGGCCACAGAGGGCACTCTTCGGGCTCACTCGGGGCTGGCGCAAGGACAGACACACTCAGGAAGCTGCGCACTGACTGCCATACGCCGACCTAAGTACGAAACCTAAAAGTCTAGGGGTATGAAGCCTGAAAGGATCAGTGGAGAGGCGTCTGACAGTTCGACATGGTCTCAAAGCGAGTGAAAATCATCGAAAAGCGCGCACCTCCGCAACGCAAACCGATGCAAAGGCCAGCAACTTGTTCTGGTGACTGAGGGGCCAGCAACTTGTTCAGCCTTCCTTTCATTTCCTTTCCATCCGTGGCTGTAGCTTCGTTGCACATGGGAAACTCACCAAAATGCATCTTTGAGTGAAACTTGGAGGGTCATGCAGCACGCATGCTTCAGCTTTATAACATACCGTGGCTGGGCCCAACTTGAGTCGAAAACGTGGGCATAGGTTTCGGATCTGCGCCATAGGGCTGCATGGATCGGCAAGATTGGTGACTCGGAGCCCAAGATCGGGGAGGCTTTGGGAAGAACACCTCCTTTCTTTGAGGCGCAGATCCAATGGAGTCCAATGAAAAGAGCTGGAACCAAACTCCTTTGTAGAGCGGCCAACCAGAGACATATTCGCATTTCATCCATGAGGTCAAGTGGACACTTTGTTCATCCAAGAAAGAAGATCGCGCATTGTTGGCTGCAAGGATTGTGAGGAAAGCATTGCAGTCAGGTCAGCCGACATTGATGCAATTGATGTACAAGCTTGACCCCAGCGATTTCAAGACAGAAAAAATATATACAGAAGTTGATTGGCTACTTGGAATCCTCACCACTAACCGGCAGGTGTTGCCGAACGCTAGACAGAAAATCGGCTCATACTACAGGCAACTGGCCAAGAGATCCCAGTATTTTTGGTCAGGGAGGACGGTCCACGACGAGATGCTGAAGGCATTGAGCGGCCGTGGTTTCGTTTTGGGAACGGAAAATGATGAAAAAGGGGATGTACAAGGTGGTCATCACTCACCATGACATCAAGATGGCGATCTTTTCTTTACCGTCCCCCGGCGCACCAGTTCTTACAGGTATGAGAGAACTCGAACAACTCGGAGCTATTCTGGGATGTCAGACTGGTAGATACATCATTGGGGGCTCAGAGGCCAGGCAGCTTGCAGAAAAAGCAGCCGAAGAGTTCAAATTGGGAGCTATTCTTGCTTCCTTGCAGGTCTGTGAACCTTTTGTGACCTGGGAGATTTGCTGTCATCCCCAATATGGGCCTTACAGCTTTTCGAAAGACTCTGGAGGACGGCTATGGCTATGACATTGAGGGGGACCAGACCAAGATCCGTCTTTTGCAGGAGCAAGTGATTGAGAAACCCAAGCGCACATGGTGGAGATTGGTGGAGTTTGAAGTGTACACCATGAACCAGCATACAGAATCTCAACCAAAGAAATGCGCAGCAGATCGAAGCTTTGAGAAAGAAGAGACAAAAGGCAAAGAAAGGAGTCAAGGTAGCTCTCAGCACATTGATCGAGATGATCAAGCAGTGGGCAGGACGACATTTTGTTGTTCTACTGGGAGTGGCCAAAAGCAGCTCATGAAGAATGGCATTTGAACGAGATGAGAGACTTTGAGAAGATGATGGACGCTCTTCAAATTCGTCTCTACTGGACAGAGGTCCATGGCTGCACATTGTGCACAGGAGAGCTCATGAAAAAGGAGTGGTTCATCGTGACGAATGATGCTGACTTTGACTACCACTTCCGCATTCTTTGTGACCAGAGCCATGCAACATGGGTTCGGCAGCAGTTGAGGCCACAGGGTACTATCCCAAGGACTTTGCGTAAGAGATGGAAGAGTCAGTGGGAACAACATCGACGTCGTCATCTACGCCCCGTTGTGGAAGATGCCAGTTGAGACAGGTGACAAGACCAAGACCATGACGGAAGTCACCAAGAAAGAACGAGATCGAGCAGA